ATCTTATGCAATCTTTCAGAGATTTTTTTACATAAATAATAAACAGGACTGCGTATTTAAAAGTCTGTCCCAACTTAGTTTCAGATAAGTATTTAAATATCAGCTACCCACTTTTTGATCTAGAAAACATGCTTCTCATTGCTTGAAAGCCAGGAAGACTTTTGTAGAAATTTCACAGTTTTGGCTTTGTCTGGATTGAAAATACCATGCAAAAATGTAGTTTTAGTTTTCTGTTGTTCAGATTAAGAGATCAATTACCCACAAAGCCCTAATCCTCTTATCAATAGATTCCCACTAAAGCTGATTCTTTTTTTTTTCAATCAAACACTTGTTCAGCTTTTTAAATAATAAAAAAAATGATTGGGAAAGTTTTGATTTAAAATAAAAGCCAGCTTTTTAAGTATTCCATAAAATCCTGAAAAATATTCCAGATATGTTTTTAATAAAAAAGTAGTAAATAAAATACATTTTTAGCTGATTCCAGTTAATCCAACCATACTTTTCACCCTGCTTAAGCACGTTGAAGCACTTTTAGATTAAGAGTCTGGCTGCTAAGGTTTGTGAAGGGTGTGCTTTAATTCAGTGACCAATGCTGGGCAAGTCACAAATTCTGTCCTCAGCCTGTGAAATCACTGTCAGAATATATGTCCATCCCACAACGATAGTACAGATCTAAACCTCATTGATGCTTCCACTGCATTTGGAGAACTTACAACGTAGTGCTGGGTTTTACTAGTGTGAGAAGGGCAAATATTCACAGGAAATAGAGGGAGCGCTTATGAACAACAAGAAGAAAAAGTTGCATAATGTCCAAATCCTACAGCCCTGATCCTGCTAATCCTTCAATAAATCATCATTACTCCAATGAGTAAGAATGTGTAGAACAGAGACTCAATCAGTTAAACCATCATATAATAGGAAATGAAAAGAAATTGCTCTCATGCAACCCTAAGGATCTTTCCACATCTCTTTACAGACCCAGCACAGAGGTATTTGGGGACCTCTGAATTATAAATAATAAATAATAATTTCGTGAGCCATTGGAAGATTACTCTTCTGGCTAAATTCGCAGCCGTGCTGAAGGGGAAGAATAAGAACAAGAAGGACAGACTTTTGGATTTATATGAGATCACTGGGGGCTGGATCCCCCACTGGATGAATGAGAACAGTCAAAGGCACATATCCTCAAGAATGCAATAATTTCTAGGGTGCCAAGCTGCCTGTGTGCTTTAATACCACCTGGAATCCTCAGAGTCTAATGCCTGACTATAAACGTCTACTGAGATTAAAGGCCCATGTAGCAAGTTGCAATCTTTTGAGCCAATAATTACTTGGACAGAGAGAATATTTTCCCCTTCAGCTAGGAGGAAAGCCAAGCAAATGTCTACTCATTTTCTGCTTTACTTTGCTACCTTACCACTGAGTCAGGTCACTTACACAGGTAACATCATAATATTCAGATTATCTTATTCAACCAACATTGCTTTAAAAATATCTAGAATGTGTCTGCCTGCAGGAGGAAAATACAGCTGTCCACAGTCAACAGTTCTAGACTAAGACTAGATGTTGGATGTGCTACTCAGTCCTGGGTGCCTGCCACAGGCTGCAGGAGCACAGGGGCTGAAATGCCTCTGTGAACCCTGGGGCCAGGTATTTCTTTCCTCTCTTTGCCTTCCCTGCTTGCTCAGCAATTCTGTACCCAACTCAGTACGTAAAGTTGCCTTACAGAGGATGCATCAGTCCACTAACATCTGCCCTTCATGTTTCTCTTTGTTCACCAGGGAGGACACTGGAGGTAACGAAAGTGGGCTCAGATGAGTCCTCCATCAGTCTCTGGTCCTCAGTCACGTTTCCACCATGGGAAGATGACAAGTTTCAACATTCCTAGGAGCTGTTGTTAGGTTACAGACACATAGGGCACTTGTACAGTTTTGATAAGAGTACATGTAAATATTGTGGATAGCCAGAAAATGATTAGAAATGTAATTATGGCATGATGGTTGTATCAGCTCTCTGTGGCATGGTAGGGGATATAACCTGGACAGAGAAATCAGTTGAGCACATAATCTCTTCACTTATCCATCATTCCTCAACTACACCCACTCATATTTATAGCTAATTCCTCTGTACTGCTTGGGATGCTGGTATTTCTTGTAGTATTGTACCATGTAGTGCTCCAGGCCTGGCCCTAAGCTCTTTCGTAAGAGGTTTGGTATAGACACGAGCAAGAGTTTTGTGAGAAAAGCAGTTTCTCACCCAAAAATGGCAGCTCAAAGAGATTAAAATAATTGCAAATTGATGTCAAACTCATTAAATTGTTTTGGGCAATGTGAAAAACGACACTGTGAAAGTTCCTTATAAATTATTTAGGGAGTTTTGTTGGAAAACATTTAATTCTAAACTTTTTCAGCATTATTTAAAAGAAAGGGGAAAAACAGCAAAATGTACCCTTAGATAAAAAATAATTATGCTTTGTTTGACTCATAATCACTTTTTGTTGTTGTTCCTGATGGTTTTAGCATAAATAGCAGTAATAAAAATTTTGGATCTGTTCCTCCTCTCCTTTTTTTTTCCCCCCTGAATTCTGTAGTTTATCCAGAAAACTAAAAATTCATCTTTACATGCACAACTCTACTTCTACGGAAAGCCACAGTAAAAAGATTCGGTCCCTGACCCAAAGAGCTAACATAGAAGGTAAAAGAACAGAAATATAGAGAGGAAAAAAAAAAAAAGATACATGATTAAATACATATAATATGGCTGTTTGCAACTGCAGAAGGCAAGACACAGGAAGTCAAGTCATCCCACCTTGGTCTGTAATACAAAGACACACACACACACACACACACACACATGCACACGCACACACAGAAACACACATATATGTATACAACATGTAGTCTACATACTCTACATCAATTGCATCTTGAAGTAAAGACATCTTATGGATTCAAGAACGTTAATCTTGTGCAGAGTGACCCACTGTGCCCCAGTCATGGTGAGCTCAGCCTACCTACCCCATAGGGCTACTCTGGGAAAACATCTGGCTGAAGGATATAGAGTGTGTTTTTGCTTTTATTCTCCTTGTGGAAAGCAGGATATCTAGCAATGGCTGAGGGCCAACAATTTCAAGCTGATTGTCCAAACTGGAAGCTTAAAGGGAATATGTGTATGTATATGGATGAAGGTACAATTATGAGGATGAGAAAAGCCAGAGCCACTGAGATAGGGGGAAACTAATCTCCCTAAACTCTGGATGTTGCGTAGCTACCTGAAAAACTCTCTCTTCTTTTTGGGCTTAATAAAGCTAGCAGAGCACTAAGCACTGCATTGCAGTACGCTGCCGAAGCTCTCATGAAGGAGGTTGGACTCGAGTTTAACAAGGCACCAGGTGGCTATGCAGATGAGAGGTTCAGAGGGTAGGTGGCAACCACCCAGATAACATAAGCATCAAACTCTCATCTGGATTCAGACAAGACAGATTTCCAGGGGCCAGATTCTGCTCATCGGCATCATTTGGAAGTAGTGCTACACCAAGGGAGAATTCGGCCCCACAGAAGTCCTGTGAGAGCAGGAAAGGTCAGTATTTTCTCCTGTCTGCATTGCACTGCACAAAATATTCAGCGCTACAGCTTTCAAGAGGATGAAGGAGAGGGACAGAGAAAGAAGACGGCGACCATGAATTCACCTTAGCATCAAGCTGTGCTTTTCCAAATGTCAACCTCAAGATAAAAGGAACCGCAGGTCAGAATGCGAAATACGTGGGAATTAAACACAGGAATGGGAAGAGAGGCGGGGGAAAAATCCCCGTTCATATTTGGGCAGTAAGAAGAAAACACTGCAATTTTGTTATAGCCTCGGAGGCAGGCAGCATTTACCATATGCTGTCGCCTACATTACACGAGGAGATAAACCCTGTGGGGTGCAGGATGCACCGTCAGTGCAGTTTGGTGGGGATTCCTGGCATTCATTATGAGTATGTGCCAGGGTGTGCTAAAAAACATATGAACCTAAATAAAGTCCATATTCTGCATGCACAAGTATGCATGCATTAATATGCAAGTGCTAAGTGGTAATAGTACCAGGATATTAGTACTGACATGAGACTCATAATCAGGGCAGAAAAGGTAGACTGAAAAATAATGTGTTTGTGTCCAGACAACATTATTAATCAGCCCTCTGAGCAGCCAGTTAGAGAGGGATTCTTAGAGGAAAAGCCTTCACTGGGTATACATTAGACATTTTATTTAAAGATTAAAGTTCTTCTAGTGTTTAATCAGTTTTAGAGCAGGATGGAAAGCGGGATTAATTACAGTCCCTTCCATCAGTCTCCCATACTGCTGGAGTCACAAATGACGCTCCTGTTTGGCAAAATGGCCACTGTCAGCAGCAGGCTCAGGAAATGCTGATTGTAATTAAAGAGTTTATTTGGAATCACAGAGCAGAGTTTTAATCAGGATGAGAAGGGAGCCTTGCTGTGTGAACTTTCAGAACATGGTTATAGAGCGGAATGGATCTTTTTAAGCGGGAGGAAGGGTTCTTTAGATTTCTGGAGTGGGTTTTCAGCTTGCTTACCTCCTCGGTGGGATATGAATAAAAATCCTCGCTGGGCCAATGATTGTTATTATATTGCACTTACCTGACAGTTACATGGCACATCTTACTCAGTGCTCTCAGAGCACTTTGCAAAGGGCTGGCAAGTTCTAATTTGGTCTTAAAACAAATAAATTAAGCCATAAAGGGCATAAGGATAGCCAAGTGATATGATTCTGCAAAAAAGCAGAGAGGCACTGCTGGAAACAGAACTGTGCAATCAGGTCTCAAACTTCTGCAGTGCATCTCACTACCTCTGTCCTGGAAAAGCATCGCACAATCTAGCACCGCAACCATCCCAAACTCAGAGGTAGGTCTCAGCCAAAGCCTGGGGATGCAGCCAGGTCTCATGGGTCAGGTACATCAAGCTGAGCTTTGCAAGCACTCTAGACAGTGCAGGGACTTACCAGCTTGCGAGTAGAACTGCGTCCATTCAAATTCTGACTTTGGGAAAACAGAAACAGGTGGTTCTAGGTCTAGGACACCTCCATCCAAATCCTTGAAAAGGGCCTTTCTCGAACTTTTGCATCTCTTCTCAGGGAGTGTGATGTCCTCAGATGAAGGCACACTGATAGGCAGGAGAGGTAATGTTATTATGAGGAAGGCAGCAAATGAAATTGTGCTGTTCTTTGAAAGTTATTTGCACTAGCAGCAAACACTTTTGCATATACAAGCAAGGTTTTGAGATTTTTAGGTGAATTTGCATGCCCATTTAAAGAATGAAAATGGAAAATAAGGGAAAATGAATGAAAACAAAGCAGGTCTGGCATACTCTATAAAGATATCCAGTGTAAAATTTGTATGTTGGCGTGTTTGTATACAAATTACAAAAAAAAAAAAAGAAGAAAGGATGCATCTGCATGCTAGCTTTTCAAATTGTGGCTGGGTTTGGACAGAGTAAACAATCTTTCCAGGGTAACTCCTCTTCACAAATCCCATCCTCCCTGGGATTTTTTTGAGCTGTTGTGGACCATCGTGGCCCTTGGACCCAGCTGTACAGTTGCATTTTGAATACCTCTGTTTCCCTCTTGGATTTCCTGAGTCAATGAATTTCAGTGAGGCAACTGTCAATATCCACGTGCTATTAATTCTTGACCTATGATGAAGGAAGCCAGGTAGTTACTGGGCAAAGCAGAAATGTGCGCTAGTTGCTACCATGCTATGTGGCCAGGAACGTCTCTGCTGCAGTAGTCAGTGCTAATAGGGGACCATGGTTGCCCAGGTGTAGTTCTTCACACTCACTGAGTGATGAATTGTTTATTTTTTGTTTGCAGATTGCTATGTGTTATTCATAATATTCTTTTAAAAAGCACTGGCTGCCCAGCAGAGAGGAAAGTACCTGTTTTTCTTGTCCTTAACCTGGGTTCTCCCATCCACTCTGGAATGGGGGAACCCTCTGAAGGGTCAGAAAATTGCACCTTCACATGAGCAGGAGAAAGCATGAAGCAGGGTGAAATAGCAGAAAGCGTGAGAGGGAGCCAGCAGGCAGCACATCATAAATAGCTTGGAGATTCCTGGGACAAGGAAGCAGCAGATACACAGCTGAGCCACAGAGCATACATCTATACAATTAAACTAAATAGTTTCAGAGCCCATCCTTTCCCTAGGAGGCCAGCTGGCACAGTCCATGTGCATAGTATTAAACTCTCTTAGTGTCCACAACAGGATGGTAACTTCCAAACTATCAACCCGGAATAGCCCTGGGCCAGCTCTCAAACTATGTCTAAGAGTTCTCTGGGTCAATGCTAAGTGGCCCAAGCCAAAGCCACACCAAGGGCCCTCATAAAAGTGGAACAGTAATGATATTCAAGTTCTGATGCCCAATTCCCTGTCTATATTTAATTTACTAGTATAATTTATATATTTAATTTGCTAATATAGCCAAACGAATTTGAAAAAGGAGACTTCTGCTAGGGATTCAGAAAAGTTTGCTGCAGCTCAAGGAGCCACTTAATGTTTCTAGAGAGAAAGTAAACTTGAAAGAGAAAAGCCACCCCAAAAGGACACAGTAGATAAGGGCTTATATGTTTATAAACTCTGTTTTGTTTGTTTGTTTGTTTTCTCTTGCATATAGTAGCTTACAAGTAGCTCTGAAAAGATCATTGTCCAAATTTATGTTCTAATAAAAAACTGTTTTTGGAGATTCAATGTCATTTTGGTGGTTTTGATGAGCTTAAAGTGAAATGCAGATGTATCTCACCTCAAAGCTACGCTTGAGAGAGGGTTTCATCACCCAGTCACAAAGATCTGATAATAAGTGATTAATCCACCTAGTATTCTCTCCTAACCAATGAATAGCTATTTCTCTCTTTCTAATGGTAGATTCAGCATCTAAGAATAGCAATAAACCATACTTCGAAAACAAGGACAGCAAGTTAAAAGAATGTTATAGCATTAGTCCAAACCTAAAAGCAGGACAAAAGGAAAGGGAAGGGAAGGGAAAGGAAGGGAAAGGAAGGGAAAGGAAGGGAAAGGAAGGGAAAGGAAGGGAAAGGAAGGGAAGGACTCTTCATTAAAGCTGATATTTCTATATTAAACTATAAATCTGACCTATATCTCCTATTACAAAATGTGATGAGATACAATGATTTGTATTCCAGCACAGGCCCTGCAAACATCTTCAAATTGCTACATGGATACTCTCTAAGTCTTGAAGAAAACTTAGAATTACTTGAACTCAAGTTGGAGAAAATAATTATTGACATTTTGAATGGGTTCAACAGATACAGGCAGAGATCAGCAGTCAGGGCAGAGAAGCAAGTGGGCCACTGCATCCAGTTAACACAATTCAAAAGACGTGGAGAGCAAAGATGGTTCCTCTGATTCTGAGAGCTCGTTCAATTCTTGAGGATATCAAAAGATCCATCATTTCAGCCAGTTAGGTCTATCAGTGGGACAAGCAAAGTGCTTCAAGCTCTTGCCCTATTCCCTGATGTTTTTGTTTCACCTTCTGCACCAAGGCAATCCCCACTTTCTTCTCGACAGGCGATATCCATTAAGATATCCTTTCAGGATGCTGAAGTAGAACAATGAGGCCAGAGCGTGGTTCAACCACAGTAGTTACAAAGGTGGGTTAAATAAATACATGCAGATAATGCATGAGGAGCACTAAAAGACCTAATCTCCCTCAGAGGTCTACCAGACTACTAAGAACTCAGTAATCCCTGTTCGTTCAACATGTTTGAAAATCACTAGCTCTTGTAGTGGACTGCGTTTTCAGCAGCTCACTAATAGCATAATATCATGGGATGGATACAAGAATGAAACATAATGGGAGCTGACAAGCTGGACAGGTTTCAGAAATCTACACGCAAACTAATGCTTAGAGCAAAAAAGCAAAAATGTAGAATAACATAAAAGTTCTGGCAGAAGGCTGGAGGGTCTTCAAACATAGCAGTGTGGGACACCTCCAATTATTTTTGACTGGCAAGTGGAGTACATGCTGGAATCTTTTGCTACTTCAAGGCTTTCCTGACATAGCCGCTATATTGTGCTCACCAGCTGTAATAAATAAATTGGCATGTGGTTTCCAATGTTTGAACTGCTGCAACCAAGAGTGACTGAAGGTTGCGGATGAAGCTCTCTCCCTCCCTGCTCCGTGTTCCTCCACATGCAGCCAATATTCTCCCTGGGCATGAGCAGTCCTGGCACTCATTTGACATCTCACAGCCTGCCTGGTACTGATCAACATTCCTGATGTGATCTTGCAGGCAGAAATCAAGCTCTGCTTCCCAGACCAAAAGGACACTCTCTATCTCAGGGTTTTCTGCTGCAGGTCCTGACATTTTTGTGAAGCCTGAGGCTGAGAAGTCAGAGATGCTCACGAGAGAGTCTTAAGAAATGGGATATGTGAAACTTGTTTTGCTATACAAATGCAAGTAAAAGGGGAACTCCAAGAGGACTGGTCTGGAGAGGCACCTTGACTAAATTCTTTGAACCTCAACTCTTCAAAAATTGCCCTCAACTAACAGAGGTTTAGAGTGTTTTGTTTGTTTGTTTGTTTTGGAATCAGGCTTTTTTACTTGCTTATATGTTGGATGTTTCATCGTGTTCATTTTTACCAGACAGTAGTACAAGAGCAGAGATAGAGACAAAAGTGGGACTGCTCTGTAGCTAGACTAAACTAATTGTTTATACTCTCCGTCCAACAATAGAGAAAGAGAGATGATTCAAACAGATGCGAGGATAGTCCCAACATTGAAAGTACTTATTTAGCAAAAAATAATTGAAAATAATACTTTAAAATGGAGCATATTACCTTGTGGGTGGCTGATGAAAGTAGAATTTATTCTTATCGTTGACTTGTAACATCCTCGATCTCACTGCTGTGATAAGAGGCATGATGCCTAACTGGTCAGCGTTGGACATGATGCAGACATCTCTGTCTTCACTATAGCAGCTTTTTGTAAAACCAGTGAAGGTAACCTCTGGTAAAGATTAAATACCAAGCAAGGAAAAGTGATTCAAAGAGTGAAAGAAATAGTGTGAGAAAGGCTCTGTTTTATGCCCCGTCTATATTAAACTGCTATCATATACATGTATAAATCATTTTTAATCACACTTATTGCATTGGTCATAGACCTTCAGTTTTCTTTAGAATGTTCCGTAGCAGAAATTATATCTTAAGTTGGCATAAACTAACTCATGCCCATAGGAAATGCAATCAAAGGACATGTTAATAAGTGAGAAGGAAACACAAGCAAGAGGAACGAATGGATTTTCATTGGAATCAGTCAGAACCAGTTTAAAGACAAGCTGCCATTGATGGTATTTTCACCTGTCATGTGTTAACACAAGATGAGGTGTGTCCGGGGACACGTACTTGGCTCTGGCACGGCTTGCGCAGTGCCAATATATATATATGCAGCAAGACTATTTTTTCCTTGGGACTTTGTCTCTGAAATTTAGCAAAGGTTTGTATGTAATAGGCTGGCTGCTATAACTGAATCTTCAGAATTTCAGATTAGGACTTTGTAAAAGATTTGATTCATTTCTGGGAGGTCTGCAAGTATTAAATTTAATACTTCTGTATTTCATGGATATATATTTCCTTATGAATCATTCGTATTGCCTTGCCTGTACTCTTTTACTGTATTATGTTTTGAATAGTCATCACAATTCAATCTATTCCAGAAACTGGTTTCTCTGGACAGGCCTCTGAATTCCCTTTATTCCTAGATTATCTTGAAGATCAGCAGAGTTGTTAGTGTCTGTGAGGAACCAGATTTCAAAAATCTAAGTTTGTTTAGAGGAATGGGTATGCATGAAAAGCATTTCCTGGCGCTCTTGCTGGATTTGAGTAGGATGCACAGATTTTAAAATATTGCTCAGCATGTTGGATAGTCACAATGCCTCTCATATTGCAACAGAGTGGTTATTCCACAAGGGCACGTTAACTGACATATTAAATGAAGGATCTATTTTTACATGGACACCTAGGGCAGGAACAGAGAGAATGACTGCCTATTCCCAAATATCTTTGGCATGGAATCAGATCTGAGGGACGTGCAAACTGTGGCAAATAGTCCCTGTTTACAGAGCCCTATGCTATTTCTCTGTGCTGCGTGGTATGGAGAGGAACTGCAGTAACTCATCAGAGCATGAATTCTGAGGAGATTTGGGGTGTGCTCTGTAGGAAATTCCAAACTCTTTCAGATCAAGGAGTTAAAGTTATCCAGCCCAAGGGATTCTGTACAGATTTATTGTTTACAGGCTTCATCGCTTTGATAAAAAAGGTAAAATATAAAGTTCATGCATTAGAATATTGCTAAAGAGAAATGCCAGTACTTGAAAGGGAAGGATAATGATTTAAATATGAATGTACGAATGACTGCAGGAATGGAGGCACTGAACAAATTCAGGCCTTAAGGCATAGCCTGAGAGGAGATGACGCTGACAGGTGTCATGCTCTGCAGACAGAAACGTGCGTTAACAATAAAGAAGTTTCTTTTGGAACCGTGTGAACTACCAAAGCCATTTCAACTCTGAATCACATTATTTTGGGATACAACTTGGATTCCCTTGCAGATCAGACTGGAGGAGACTAATGCATTATCTTCTCCTCCTCCTCCAGCTTCTTGTTAAACTACCTTTAGCTAGACAGTGTCATCTCTTCAGTGAAGATGCCATACTTGATTATATGAGCATTACTTCTTTCTCAGCATTTCATAGTTTTTGTTTGCTTGCTTATTTGTTTGTTTGTTTGTTTTTTCAAGAGTTAAAGTGAGCCTGCTGACTGCACTGGAACAAGCTGAGATTGTTCATGTGATCCAACATCCAGAGAGTAGCAAGCAGCTTCTCACTTCCCCCATCATAGTTAGAGTTTACCAGTCCTACAGCTCCAATGCCATCTTGTACCATTTTACCTTCCCAAATGGATCCAGATAGATATGTAATTGCACATTTACCCAGTCCATTTAGATGCAAGGGCGGGTAGCTCTGGGAGCACGCAAATAACAATTGTATTACATTTATTTTTCTTTGTTCATCTCTTCCTTTCAAAGGAATTTCAAAGGATGTGCAAAACTATGTTGGGCAAACGTCAGAAGAGGTAAGGGATGTTTTTCAGAGTTGAGAGGCCTAAATTCAAATCCATGCCTTGCCACGAGTTTTCCATGACACCTTGGGCTAGTTTGTCTGTTTTCTCTGTCTCCTTTATTCTTCAGTAGAAAGGGTATTACACAGTTTTTCACAGCAGTGGGCCACAGTGAAGTATAAAGACATGAAAAACTATGAGGTATTTAGAGCCTACCATGGGAACCATCAATCTAGGTTCTACTTTTAAGCAAATATTGTTCTGTGAACTGTAAATTTCATTTGAACTAAAGACTCAGGATACGGAACTTACTTGTGCCCTTCTTTTACAGTATTAAAGTTACCACATTAAAATAATAAAAGTCGTGACTGTCTGCTTCTATGCAGCTGTAGGCATTACGCCCTGTCCAAATTCTATACAAAGTCTGCTAACTCACTTCTCAAACTTGGTACATTTATTTAGTTAGCGAGAGAAGTACCTGAGAGAAATGAACCAAATATAGAAAAAAAAAAAAAAGTAGTAAAGAAAATGAGATGTATTTGAGGGAAAAGGTACAAAATAGCACGTGACAGAATTATACTGCAGTCAGTCCAGCAAGAAAAAAATACCAAGTAATAACTTTTTAAACCATATTGAACTGAAGAAGAATTCTGTTATTGATTTTATTGGTGCTGGGATTCCCCCACCATATCCATATGTGGAAAGGGAAAGCTTCAGGTTTAACTGGAAAGATGTGGAAACATCACCAGAATAGCTAGACTAATGAAAGCAAAAGACCAACCTTTTAGCTTCATGAGTCCCAGTACCTTCAGACAACGCCCAACTTTGTGCCATGGGTTATCCGGCCTTTGGCCGAATGTGGTGGTAAAGGTAGGCCAAAGAATCCCAACACGGCCTCTGCGGGGGTAGTACGGTGGTCGATCCCTGGAAGTTAAGTCAGCTGAGATAGGTTTGATCCTGTCCTTGATGCAGTCGAAAGTTGAGCTTGTTGCGACAATGACAGAGTTTCTAAGTTCTATGTATCTTTTCCCTGTGTGGCACTGCTCAGCATATAGACAATACACCACTGGCATGAGACCAACGGTGTTGTCCACCAGCACTATGTTGTCCATGATAACACTGCTTCCAAGGTGGAACATGATACCATAGTCATAATTCTTGTAGGAGAGAAATCCTGTGATTTTAGTGCAGGTCTGAAATCCGTCTCCTCTGTAGAGATGAATACCATGGAGACTTGAATGGGCCACATTTTCACTGCAACAATCTCCATCAAGAGAGCACTCCTGACCCCTGATATGGAAGGCAATCCGCTCAGATCCTGCCACAACATTGCCGTGGAGGGAGACACTGATGACAAGGTTCACCTTGATGCCAGCAACCCAGTTTAATAACCCTTCTGGCTGCCTGCTAAGAATGATAAGGTTTCTGATGAGAGAATGATTTCGCCCTTCCAGATCAATGCCAGGTCCAACTGTGTCGAACACCACATTCTCATGCAACAAGATCCAGTTGCTAGTGATGGCTTTAATGCCACCTCCACAGCTACCATGAATGCTCGATGAGACCACCAATGACCCTTGGGTTATATTTCTGAATTCAATGGCAGAAAGCTGAGGAGGCCCAAAGTTCAAAAATTCAACATTTAAGAGTTGAAGGACACCTGCAATGAAATAACTGTAATGAGACAGAAGCTTATACCAGAGAGCTGGTCAAAAGTGACACCCATTTAGATGCGGCACAGGCAGGCAGCAGTAGATAATCTTTATCAGTGCATTGCCAGTATGGTTAAAAAAAGCACAAAACTGCCAGCCATTAGACAACCATCCCTAAATATATTCCAATGTTATTTATGGAATGTTATCAGTATTTCATACATGTTGCACAGTTTTAGTTCAGTGTGCTGAGAATCATATAGCACATGCAGATGGATACATCTGCTGTTGGGAGGGTCCTGTCTTGGCAGAATTGGACTGGCTGTATGAGGACAGGTGAGTCTCAAATACCTTCAAATTCTGTTCCACTGGAGTCTCTAAAATGTCCCACCAGCATCCTCCCACCACAAGCCACATCAGACTTGATCTGTATGTTGCGTGTTAGGAGCCCAACCTCCGCAGCCAAAGGGATGTGTCTACCATCTTCTGTGTCATGGGAACGCCCTGGGGAATTTCAAGGGAGAAAAAGTGATAAATGTCTATCATATCTATAAAGCAGTGCTTCTGGGGACATCAAGCCTGACAGCTGGTGCACGGTGTCTCTACAGAATCTGCACTGACATTCAGGTATGTTTTTCCTCCAGCACAGTCTACATGCATCAACACAAAAACATAAAGGCCACCTGTCCATCAAATATTCACCAGGAGCTAATATTTTACCAACATATTTTGTTCTTCACAAGGAAAGGTGCTAAATCTATTCCCTACAGTGTGCAGATGCCAAATCAATGAATAGATTCACATTTCATTTTCCTAAGCTGTATGTGCAGGAGATATTCGTTGATACATACATACTACAGAGCTGATCTCCATGAGTTCTTGTTACAATCAGGCTAATGACAGTGCTGAAAAATAATTTGCTACAGAGACTTGGTTGCATGTATTTTCTAACACAAAGTCTTGCTAAATGAGACTTTTGAGAGTGTCTATGCAGTGTCTTTGCAGCTTCGAATTCATCTCAGGTAACTTCAGACATCTACAGATTCGATCTAGTTACCCAAACTGTTTTTTACGTGTAATGGAGAGCAATACACAATTCTCAAGAGCAATTCATCATCTATTTTACACATTTGCTTTAGGATGAGATGAAATATAAGTGAGCAGTATGTAGTTTTGTGAATCCAAGTATTTAAGTAGCTTTTAATTCTTCCATCAGTCCCCTTTTCTTCTCAGCTATGCCTAACAACTGCTGCACCATTTCATCTCAGGATATACTGACCACATCTATGATAGTTAACAAAATAGGCCGAGAAGTGTTCTGGGTCCGAGGCCAACTGGCAGGTTTCTTTGCTCCCTTCCAAAAGAAAAGGAGGGCTGTGCCCTAACTACTGGAAACGGGGCCTAGCCCATGCTATCCTTTGAGCTACGCTGTTTGGAAAAATGCTAGTTGGCATATCAAAACTGTGCTAGGGAGGATGCTGCTAATTTAACACTATGGATGACTGCAGAACAGGACTCAGTCCCAAGAGATGTTGTTTAGTAGTATAGATACAACAATTGAAAACACTCATAGTATTTCTGAGCCTATTCATTTGTCGTACTAACTTTTGTGGCTATTGAAGGCTGAGAGAAAAAAAAAAAAACTTACATAAGAAAAATCCTACTGCATTTAGAGCCTTGGAATTTGAATTACTGATAGTAATTATTTTTTCTTGCTACAGAAATGGTAATAGATTTCTCTTATTTGCAATAATAAAATTAAATAAATTATCAATAGTGGATCTCTTACACTTAACTACAGATCTCATATAATCTGTATGGGAAATAGAGCTATAGTAGATTAAGAGGTAGAGGTATCTCTCTATGTGCATTGTATACCTATTTTCATTTATGCATTATATTACAAATACATCAGTTTCATGCTACAGAGTTGATCACAATTTTTCCTCTGAAATTTCATGGACGTTTCATTTTCTGCAATTTGAAAAAATAAAGTTTTGTGAAATTTCCACTGGTTTTGACACACTGCAGAAATTGCATAAACGACCTAAAAGTCTGCATTTAAACCTTACATTACCATTTCAGTTATTTTCTCTCTATGATAACCAGTTATAATTACACATATGAAAAACTATGAAATTTTCCAACAAATCTCATCACTGAATTAATTTTACGCTCTGAAAGTAATGTTAGAATCACCTATTTCTAAAATTTTGAACATCACATTGCAGTATCAAAATCTCAAGAAAAAGCATACAGAGAGAGAATCAAAGATATATCAACAAAGTAGAATTAATCTTGGGGAGATACGAAACGGAAGGTCAATGCAAAACAATATAGATTGGGTGATCTGAAGAAGAAAGAATGCAGAAGAATATGCTCTTAAATGGCGAGATATTTCTTACCAATATGCCTGTGGAGAAGGCGTTCATGAATCCTAATGCTATGACCATTTAATTCTTTAAGTGTAACTACTTCAGCTTGGTGGGCTTCATAAGAGGACGAGCTGATCACAATATGCCCACCATGATTCCAATCCACTTCATCCTCCACCAAAATCCTGCAATGCCCAGATATTAAATTTGATGTCGTTACATTATGAGAGATTTATGCTCATAGGTTTCCTAAAAAGACAAGTATAATCTTGCCAAGGCAGATCTCAAAAAGAAGCTGCAGGTTATGCTCTAGGGAAAATCCCTTAGGGCTTACTGCATCTAAAAACAGATATCTAAAATAGATAGGATGAAATTCATCCTGAAATGCCCATTTCACTCCACCAATAACAGTAAAACAAGGTATCTGGTTCCAGTGTAGAGCTGTAGAGCTCAAGCAAGTTGCCTAACAAGGACATGTCATACCATTTTAGAAGCTGGGAATATCCTATTTGGCCTCCAGCTACTGGTCTGAAAAGCCCATGTTTCTGTACGTGTTGTATCATATTTGCCAGTGTATCACAAATGACTCAGTTACTCAAAATCGCTCAACACTAGATCCCTATATCTATAACACTGAATTGATCCCCTGCCTTTACACAGATGGCTTGTTTCCTGCGGAGTGAAAGTCAGCTCCGGACTTAGACTCGAAATGTCAGTGTCTATGTGTAGATGCTCACTTTGCGTTTAAGCTTCCACTATAGCTAATGAAGGTCTAATCAATATAGTCAGTAGAGGGCAAAGGCAGTTCAGGTTCATTGAATTAGGCACATAGGGCAGGATTTGATTGCCTAAACATGGGCATGTATTGCTTTTGAGATGAACCAGGACAGCCAAGATATGGACTGACAGATATGACAGGATTTGTAGGAGACCCATGTGTTTCTGGAGAGACATGTGGAGGCCATGGAGGCCATGGCATATCAGATGAGCCCAGAAGCAGTTTGGGTACCTGACTCCTTCCTTTAGCAGCTGAATTTCCCTCCAGGCTCCAGTGACTTGAACTCCAGTGACTCAGATGGGAGCTCAGACACCTCTTGAAACACTTCACACAGACACCTAAGTTTATGTGTTTTAATCTTGGATGGAATCCCTGCCTTTGTATTCGAAGCTCAAAGTTTTTGGCTTCATACAGAGAAAATAAAAGCACTTAGTGAAAGCAAAATGGATAACAATTAGTACTTATATAAACCCAGTAAATACCTAAAGGGTACTGTTACAAGGTGACTGGTGCTTGCCAGGTAATGACCTGCGCAGCTAATTGCTGAGGTAATAGACCACTGAATGAATTCGGAGAATGAGTCAGCTTGCGGCGTGTGTTTGGGACTTTAACACTTTACATGTAACCACATTAGGAGTTAAATCTTAAGTCTAGACTCAGGCATACAATCCAATAATAATTCACCTCTTGTGAACACATCATACTTACCTCCCTTAACTCCTGCACTTCAAAGTCTAGTAAGAGGAATCAGAAAGCATGGTTTCTATGAGACACCATCTAAGTTGCTAATCTGCTGAAATACTAATTCAGATTTTCACTATCTATCCCCTTACATAAATAAGTAATTCCTTTCGAAAGACTCATTCCTCCTCTGACTCATTTGCTGATTCATGCCGGAAAATTGAAGTGCATCTCAGAACCCTTAGAAAGATACAACAGCTTCTCTCAGTCAACACAAAAAGTCACTTCCTTTAGCTTTCATATTCTAGCACTGGCATCCATATTTCCTGTGGCTAACCATGTTAAATCCTAGCTGGTTATTGGTAGATCTGGAAAAAAAATCTGTGGCCAAGACTTTTCATGGTAACTTCTTTTTCTCTCTCTCTCTCTCTCTCTCTCTCTCTCTCTCTTTTTTTTTTTTTTTTTTACAATGGAAACAACTGTTGTTGCTTTATTTAATGTAGATGAATGAACTCCAAATACTTGTATCTTAACACCTCATATTATTTCATATAAAACATCTGGGCAGCAGGCCAGTAGTTGCCTGGATCTGTTTCATCCAAGCATTTAGCTGGCATGCTTTAGTCAAGAATCTACTTACCCTAGACTCCCATCCTAATCAAGGGAAAGGGAAGAATTTCCAGGGGGTGATTTTGATGTTGCATCATTTGAATCACCATCTGGATGTATCTGGCTCTCCACTGACTACACAGGAATCCTAAACAATTTATTTACACTGGACGCTCAACTCTGTGAGAGCCAACAACAAATAAATCCTGCTTGTGAGGTCTTTGTGCCTCCATTTCCCATCTCTCCAATGGGTTTATAAATACTTCCTCACCTAAACACTGACATTGCACCTCTACCTATAAGGGAACTCTTCCAATGAGTTTTTGTTAGGCATGCCTGGTTATTTTTTTTTTCCTTTGAATACATGCCTTTCTGTTGAAAATGAAGAATTTGGCAGAATTACAGCAAAGAGAAATGAAAATTTCAAATAAGACAGAATCAAGAATAAGAGCTCTAGAGACATAGGTACCAAAACCAGCTAATGGTGGCCAGGGCACTTTCAGGAGAGACCCGCATGGAGAGACCTTCTCCGATTCAGATGAACGGCTTGAACAGCAGGTCATAAAAATGTATTCATTTAACAAGCAGCTGTGGCAGCCTAACTTAACCTGCCTTAAGACGTGGTTTAGGCTGAGCCTAGACAGAGGTTGTTGATAGGCGCTCATGCCGTTGTGTCGCTGCAGGGGCTGCAGTGGCTTACGGAGAGGCAGCACCAGGGGAGAGGAAGGTATTGTTTTAAGATATTTTGGGCGCTTGTTAAATGAAATTGTGTGTTTATCTTGAAAGCCTCATATCTCAAACAAATACCTTACCCTTCCGGTTATAAAGTCAGCCTTACTTTATTTGAGCCAATTAATATTTAATTATTTATATATATACATACATGCTATATATGTATGTATGTATGTATATATGTGTGTGTGTGTATATGCATATAAAAAGAAGACTCTAACAGGAGAGATTAAGCTGTTCACTCCAGACATCACTTCTTAAAGGACTGTTCATCCCAGTTCTGCTTAATTCAGAGGTGACATTTGAATGTAGGTCTCTTAAACCAAAATGAATATCCTCACCACCAAGATGCCAGCCATTCTGGAATGCATCTTTTCCTTTAAAAGTGAATGGGAGAGGGAGAGGGAGGAAGGCAGGGAGGGGGGAAGGAAGAACAGAATGAAGGCAGAAAATTTTAAGTTCATTAACTTGAGAAATAAAATGAATCTAAAAATGGTATAATTTTCTTGCAAGATGTAACATGCTAAACTACCACTACTACTAGCTCTAGTTTAAACAGTGCCTATCACAAAGGAAAATGGCAATATTAAAATCAATCATAAGCACAGGAGACCAAACTTAGTATCTGGAGGCATATTTTGGGCAAAATCCCACCTTTCATTGCCAGGTGCAATGTTAGTTCCCAGATGTGTCCAAGACCTCCCAGGATAAGCACTGTGAATTTGCACCTTTCCATAAACCCCTGGAAAAAAGAGAAACAGGACATTAAAGGCTAGGAAAGAGAAAGACTTCAGCTGAACCGAACTCATAACTAAATGTTACAAAAACTTATGCATGTTAAAACATATTTCTGTTTTATGAAACATGAAAAAACACCACATAGCTTCCATCTGAAATGGAAAGTGAACTAGAAAAAAGTTATTAATAAAGTAGAATGGCTATCACATGTAAAGCCAAGAAAGGGGATTGAGCCATAGAAGTCTCATTAACTGAAATAGAAATTGCAGACAAAGTTTCCTAACTTTGTGAAAAATGCCAGTAGTTCAATATTTATAATATTTTCTTGGCAAAAAGTAAACAAAAAGTTGATTGAAATGGAATTGCTCATTGAATATATTTATTTTGATAGTAGCTGCCTTCTACCTGTGGAAAATTTTTCAACTTGTTCTCACAATACTTCCTTGAAATGGTTCATTCAAAATAATTTCTCTTCTATGTCTCATATTGGACACAGTCATACATGTCAATAAGAAATATTTTGCAACGTAATATTAGACTAGAAGCATAATTTAACATCTCCTCATGCAGCAGCTCAGCATAGCACCTATCAGAGCATATCCTTGTATTCCGTGGCCAGTATGGGTAATTTGACTTAGACTATCCCATAAAGAAAGAGGTTTAAAATAAACTGAATGATCTTGCATTTGCTGCAGTTTAAGAGGATGACGCGGACAATTGTGAAGTCTCATTTCACTCATGATATCATGCTAAACTGCAGCAACTCATCTATCTGCTTTTCTAGCCCCTAAAATCTTAAGAAACCAAATTGCTAGTTACAGTTATTCTTGATCTCCTAAATAAATTAAAAAAAAAAAAAACCTTCAGAATCCATTTGCTTTGTCAGTTAACTTCTCTTTTGTCTTCCCAAGCATCCATTTGGCTATTTGCTAGAATTTCCTGATCAGTGTGTGAAACAATTTCTTAATGTTGCTATCAGAAACAATTTCTTAATTTCAGGTTCTTTCTCAGAATTGCTCTAATATTCTACAAATCTAGATCTTGGCAATGTCTCTTGATAACAGTTTGAATTTCCACAATGTCTTTATAAAAGTCCACCAACGACCGAAGTCTCGCAATGCCCAAGTATTGTTTTAAATGTTTTATTGTTTTAAACCATGAAAAATGAAGCACACAAAACTTAAATTATCCTTTTGACCATGATCATATGAGGAGATGTAAGAGTTAAATTTTCTGCTATCCAAATGTTTGGAAGTATTTAAATTTGGTTATTTGGATCCAGCCAGTAGCTCCTGGATATAAGTTGTCTAACTTAAGTCAGGCATTTAAAAAGAGCCATATAAGTTTAAGCTCATCATCCTAGGCTGGAAACTTTGAGGGACATTTGCCTCATCCTGAGAGAGAGATCAAAGATAAGTGAGATGAAATACCCTCTTGAAGTTTGTATTTCTCTCTACTCAATAAAGTGATTTTAGTTTGAATACCTTTGCTTTGATAACTACCTTTTACAAATCTAAATCCTAGAACCTAACCACTGACAGGTCAAGATCAAACCCATGTACATATATTTGAGTCCTTTCAAGCCCTCTCCCCTTTTCTCATATAAGAACCTCAAGATCTGACATCTAGCTGTTAATTCAGGAGAACCTTTATTCACTTGTGTAAAATTTTTCCTGAAAAAATCTTCACAAAATCTCCAGGATCTGATCTGGTAAAACTGAGACAGTAAAAGTACTTAACAGCTTTATCTCAAAAAGTGTGTGTGCCTTTGTTAGACGTTTTCCTATATGACCTAGTAACAAGCTCAACAGCAGTTGATTTGGCATAAGATTGGTTTCCTATAAAAACGTGAATTCTTATTTCATACCGATAGTTCCTGGGTGGATGTTTATTTCCTCCAGGCGATCACAGTAAATTCCCTCAGATGCCCGAAGAAGGATCAGTAGCCTTAAACCCCTTTCTAGCGGATGCTGAAAAGAGCCTGCAAAAAAGAAAAAAAAAAAAAAACAGCAACAACCCACCACTGAGGTGTTAACTCAAATATTTCAAGTGCCTAAATTAAGAGGGAGGGGTGAGTGAATCCAAATTTAGATCCCCGAAAGGGAAGTCTAAAGGAGTTTGTCCAAGGTTACACAAGGAATCCGTGAAGACAGCTGGTTCCCTTTCGGCTCCCCAACCTCTGAACTACTGTTTCCCTCTTCAGTCCATTTTTGCCCTTCTACTCTCTGCTCATATATAATTGCACCAGTACCCAGATAACCATGAGTTCTACAGCCAGGATAAGTAAAATGGTCCCTCAGATCAACAGAAAGATGTTAATAGAGCAGAGGAACAGAAAAGTCGAAAAAGCTTTGGTGTGTGCAACGCTGCTCTTATCTTGTGGTGATAAGTCTGTACAGTAAACTGTATTCCAACTGTGACTTCATTTATTTCACCAAGGGTAGTTTACAGTTGCAGAAGAAAACGGCCCAGCACTAAACAGATAGTAGGGAGGAAAAAGTAGGACAGTTTTTGCCCTGGAGAAATGTATGTGGAGTCCAGTGAAAGAGTTCAGCGTTCTTTTAAAATTAGAGATTAAATCAATTATGCAACAGAAAACTGCAGCAGATGTAGAACTAAAAAACATATACATATCTGTACAAAATTAGCTGGCCTGTCATGATCTTTTAATATTGAAAAATTACTAGTTTGGAAAAGAGAGATGATTTTGTATCCTAAAGAAATATTCCTCTTTAAGAGCATTTTTAAATGAAGGGCAATCAATAATAAATGCATTGCTCCTCATCAGTGCCTAACTGTTATCTGTGGCTATTTAAATTCTCCGTAAAGCTTTTAAAGGGATATAAGACAAACAACAGTACAAGACTTGCAGCTCCCCATCTAATATATCTCACACCAGTGAGTTTTGGCATCTTCTCTGGGGACATGAATGGAATTTAGTCTTTCACCTCCTGTTTTCCACTCAACCCATCTTTGACCTTCTTGTTTAAACTCTCATAACTGTGCTTTGCACGGAAGATCATCAGGAATTGGACCATGACCAAATACTAGTTTCAGATCAGAAAACTAGTGGTAAGCACTTTCACCACCAGTGGACAAAGTTAAATAAATATCTAGAAAGAGCAGCAGAAAACTTCTGTAAAGAGTCATGTCTAGTTTTGCATGCAGAATGAGTGTATCAGCTACACTGAAGACCCAAGAAAGACTCAGCAAAACGCTCTGAAGAATTTTGTATTGATATTACAGTGTAATTCACAAATACCTTTTCCTAATCATAATGATATCCCTTTAAGGTGGAGGATTATAACGAACTATTGTTACGAATTATTATTGGTATTATTATTGTACTGGTAGATAGAAAGTGTATACTATTTCTTCCTGTTAAGTCAGTAAAAAATAGCCTTGTGATATATCCAACTTTTCAGCCTCCATTTTAAGATAATTTTTAAAGTAGGTTTCTAGGCTTCATGCTCAGAGAGAAACGCTTGGAAATGTGAATCCTAAAAGCTTGAATTGGAACTTATCACTTCTTAAAAAGAAATATGTCTACATTTACCTAAAATTTGTGATTTTTAAACCCTAAAAAACATAAGAATAGGTTAGGGAATGTTATCCTTGTTAAAAAAAATAAAAATAAAAACATATACACACATACATGCAAAACCAAAAGATAAATAGAGCGAGAAAGAAGGTAGCTGTAATAAAACTACTCTTAATACCTCACAGACAGATTAAGCCCATAGAAAAATCTAAAAAGGGGAAGATAATGGCCACAGAAACGCTTCAGTGGCTGCAAACTGTAAATAGCATATGATACAAGAATACAGGAGATATCTGTGACTAGAAAAATTAAATTTGCTTTAAGTAAATTTAGAAGAAAAATAATCCTAATAATTACTTATTTACAACAATAGTACAGTATTTTTATATCAATATATTTAAATAATTTGAATGCAAGTGCTACTAAAGAGTTGGCCCAGAAACTCGTTGAACTATTAAGGTGGACTTTTCAGCAAATTTTGGATCACTCATAATGTGTCAGAACACTTGAAGAAAGCTGATATTGTGCCAATATTTCAAACAAACATAAAAGTAAGAGCCCCAGCTAATTACAGGCCTGTCAGCTTGACATTGATTCTAGGGGGAAAAAAAAAAGGAATGTCCAACCCGAAACACAATTAATAAATCATTAAAGGTGGAGGATATAATTAATGCCAATCAACATGGCTTTACAGAAAATAGGTCCTGTGAAACTTCCTTGTTAGCATCTTTTGATGAGATTACAGGTTTAGTTGATAAAGATAATAGCTTTGATATAATTGGCTTCTCCAAGGTATTTGACTTAGTAGCACAAAACTTTCTAATTAACCAACTATACTGGCACAACATGAATACGGTACGCTTTAAATCACAGGAGGACCAACCGAAATGGGGTTTTTACTCAAGCAGGTACATTTCTCATTTGGTCTTGAAAGTCCTGTGGTACATAATGCTTTATCAGTGACCTGAAGGACTCTGAAGTTACTGAAATTAAGTGGATAAGCGGCTACAAATGGGAAAAGGCCAGTAAAAGTAGACACAATTTAGGAGTGAGGAACTGGAGGGGAGAAAGTGGAGAATGGTCAAAATCCAGTAAGATAGGTCTTGCAAAGGAAATGCAGTCTGTATAAATAAATGGAGAACAAAGGAAAAATAAGAAAAACGAGGTGAAAGGAACAAGCTAGATAAGGGATCTGAGCTATGTATTTTGGCTTAGTCAAAATACAGCCCAAGACAGCAACTCATGAAAATGAAGACACAGAAATGGAAGCTACCTCAGCTTACTCAAAGTAAAATCCAAAGTAGTTAACACAGTGACATCGGGTAACTTTCAACACCATATGAAATAACTGGCATATGAAATCACAGCTCATTAATAAGCTGTTTTGATAAAACTATCAAGTTGCCCTAAAGCAGCAATCATAATCTCTGCAGCACATACGTGAAGTATCTGGGCTTTAAACACCTATGTTTGAACTCTGAATATGAAAACTTTAGGTGACTTGCCTCACTTTCACGTGGTCAACCAGTCTTACAGGCCTATCAACCCGTCAAATCAGCTGTCCTGTGTGTGAGAGGCACAGAAATAGTCCCCACTTCATATTTCTACTATTAGTTGAAGGCTCATCAATTAGACCTAGGCGGCCTGATGGATCAGGTGAGATGATAAATCACCACTGTCAGAGAACTAGGAAAAAGGTAAATGTGATCAGAAGTCGCCAGAAGTATCTGGTGAGATGTGCAGGAAAGTTCAGGAGGGACTAATGCCAGTGTACACAGAAAGAAAGTAGAGCTTTCTCAAACACATCCTCTGTTCCAACCAGAAAGCGTATCTGGAATTTGAAGGGTTTGCTCCTCTCTTTCAATTTGCCACATATCTACCAGTCTAGGCAGAGATTCTGAGTAGCAGTTTGACCGGTCTGGAAATCTCAGGCATTTCTGAGGTGCAGGCACAGGTTGACTTATTGGTAGGCTGACAGGTAGGAAGAATGCAACTTTCTAAGAGCTAGACTTTAAGTACAGCCATTGCTCAGTCATTTAGTGCCTTCACTGTCTGTCTGACGTTTGACTTCATGTCAAATGGCCTCACTACATGTATGAATTTCTGTGAGGGGCAGCTTGAGCTGAGTTCTTCCAGGGAGTGCTGGCATCATAATGTAATCACTTCGAAGTGCTTGGAAACCAGTTTTCCTATGGATAAGAAATAACCTGCAATGCTGATCAAGCCACTGCTGATTACATATTTTCCTGAAAAAGTGTGAGGTCCAAGTGCCTCGACTGACACATAGTTCTGTTAGTGCAGTGGTTTAAGCTGATTCATAAAACTTCACCAGGTCCAGACACTAGAGAGAATAAAACCTCATCATCTTAAAATAAAAATAAACAAACAAACAAACAAACAAAAACAAGGGAGAACAGGCAGAGAGGTGTATTTTTTCTACATGGATTTCCACTTATTCTAGACTGCAACCTGGATCTAGTTTGCTTTTGGATTTCAAAAGCATTTTCCATTGTTTTCACATTTCAGTTTGATCCCAGATGTTCTTCCTGATAGTTTTTGATGCATTTTTTTCTTCTTTTTCCTTAGCAAATTACATTCAATTCTTTCCTAGAGCAGTGGGCGTTTCCTCCCTTCTAGCCTTTCCTTTCTTCACAACATAACACCATGCAACAGCTGTTGTATATAAGAGCAAGGAAATCGCTGAGATAAGATCCCCACCTTCCACTGGCAAATAGACTTTGCTAAATATGTTGCAGCAGTCACGTCCAATATCAGTTTTGTGTTTTATTTCTCTAGTTTTGTGTTTTATTTCTCTAAACTTTCTTGGTTTCTACCTGCCCAACTATTTTCAAAATTGTAGTTTGTCACTAGAAAGTCTGAAGAATTTTTACTTATGGTCATTGCATTGCTGGATAGTCACCTAGAGTTGGCTTCTCCTTTCCCAGCTGTTCCATCAGGCATCCAGGCTACATTCTGCAAAGATGTAGCCTGTAAAAGTAGTTGTAAACAAGGAGGCATCACATGAGTGGAAGATGGGTGAACTGGCAGATGATGCTGCCAAACAAATGGAAGAGATAAGACAGACATACAGCTGTACAGTTGGAGTCAGCAACTGGGAATGAGATGAACGTCCAAGGAATAAGAAGACGCGTAGGATAGGATTCAGCTAACTAATTATGGATGTCTAATACCATTTGAGAGCCCTAGGGCATCCAGATTCACCATATGTTTTGGCTGATACGAGACTGGGATCAGTGGGAGAACAGTGCCTTTTTCAGCAGAATCTGTAGGCCAGGTGGGGCACCTGAGTGTGCCCAAAATGATACAAGAGCCCTATATTTAGGCAACTGAAGCCTGTTCCCAGGGAGATTCACATACCTACATACAAGCGTCTTCATCCAAGCCAACACAGAACAGTCAGTGTGGTCAGCGGAGCCTAGAAAGTAATTTGCACTAAAGTATCTATATTAGCCAGTCCCACTGACTCCCCTAACTGTATTGACTAGATCTACATTGATATAGTGAGGACTGAAATATCCAGCTCACTTGCTGTCTCTACATGAAACACCTAGTTTGGGAATCTTAAACATGCGGGTCGAAACCATTCTCTAGATGATATGATCAGCTAAAAGAAATCAAGTGGCTGAGAAAGGGCAAAGACCAAACGGAGGCCGAGAGATGAATTGAAAGGGATGCAGATGGTACAATGAACTTTTCAAACCACTTATTCTATTACCAGGGATGAAAAAATAGGCTCAATACATCCATAGTACTCCAGCTCCATACACGGAAGTTGTGCAGCTGAACCAGAATGTTACATGACTGCAAGTAGGACGGGACTGAGCCCACAGTGAAACACGGGACCCACACAATAGAGGTATGAAATGAGAAACAAGACTGACAAGCCACCATCACTTAGATGCAAAAATAAAAAAAAAAGGAAAGTGGTGAGTTGAAACTAAAAAGAAAAATCTTATCTGGATAATTACTTAGCATAAAAAGCATAAATAGCTCACTAGCAAAGAACAGCTGAGTACAATGGAATTCAAGATGAGTCCAATAGACCAATTTGTGAAAAAAGAACTTCAGCATTTGCTGCAGCCTTATCAGGAGTTGAGGGTTTTGTTCAGCAATGGAACAGGGCACTTTCAATGCATGCTATCTGCACTTTAATGCTGACTTATGGGTTAAAATGAAAGAACTACTCTAGCATGGAACTGAAAAGAAACCTCTGAGACATCAAGCTCAGCATTTCCTTTCTTCTTCTGATATTGGTGTGCTAATGATATTTAGCTAATCACTTAACCTCTCTGAACCTCAATCACTCTTGCTATAAACTGGAGGAAAAAAAAAAGAACTAATTGTTTTAAAGCATAGAAATTCAGAAAGGTAAAAATAAATGGTGTTTCTAAAATATTATTGCAAATACTACCATCAAAAAAGAGACTTTCAAAGTTTAAATCACAGAGAAAAGCTCCATACCTGGGAGCTAGGAATACTACACGGGAGGTAACCAAAAAGCTTCGTGGGTCCAACAACAATGAAGGGCTTGGAGCACCTAGAAAAACTGGGGGTGTGGGTAGACCCACATATTTTACTTCTGTTGTCCCAGGACTCTGACAGAGCTCTTTGCTGTCCTTTTCAGAGCTTTAACCATCTCACATCTCCTGGTGATCACAATCCACCTTGATGATGGATTATACCACACACAGAAGAGCAAAGTGATGGTAGACCCTCCAGGATCACAGATGCCCCAGGAATTCTAATCTGTCAGCTCTCACTGCATTTCTAAAAGCAGTGGCGCCTTTCAGCCTGCTAACTCATCCTAGTTTTAGTGCAAGTTATCATTTTACCAAAAAGTAATCAGGATCTGGTTGATGTTTCATAAGCTCTACTTTTACATTGATTTTTTTTTCATTTCTTTTCAATTTCTCATCTCACTGAGTTCCTGTGTGCTTATGGCCATGTTTTAACCATCTGACTTTTTTTCTTTTCCCCTGCAAATAAGATGCCAGGTGCTCTTAAGGGCAGCAAAGTCCAAATAAGATTTGTTTCCACAACTAATCATTGTTCTCTAGTAGTTTATTAAGCAAAGCAGTAAACAAAATGTCCAGGCTCTGCCAGAGAGTCTTTGTTTGGCCCAGGCCAGTCAATTAGAGGCAGTGATACGTGGCCAAGGATTGCTACACCAGGAAAGGTCCAGAGAAGTTACACAAGAGGGAGGATCTGGGGATTTGGATCACATGATATGAACCTCAGATCCCGCTCAGGCAATGCTGAATGCTGACGTCCACATCTATTAAATCTGTTTACTAAACTGTCTCGTTATCTGTGTTGTGTCAGGATTTCTTTAGGGTGTGGTGGAATTGCACAGATGGGCTTCCAAACCTTCCTTCAGGCATGGAACAGCCAGGATTGGACAGATGGGCTCCAAGAAGTTACCTTTAGGCCTCGAACACATGGGAAAAGAAAGAGGAAGGGAAAGAAATGTTCACTCCCAGTTTTACAAACAAGCATGGAAGCCAGGATAAGATGCAGGAAACTTGGAGACTTTCTACCTACCTATCATCTTCACAGCTGAAACTAAAGTAAGAATATCTCTCCAGAAGATAGCGGACTAAGATTCAATAGCTGCAAATACCTGTTTGGCTTTTAGTATCATTAGTACTCACAGATATGCTGGAGGGGAGTTCATACAGCAAAAAGTGCCTCAATGTTTCTTAAGTGTTTTTAGCAATGAAAACATGCTTTTTCATAAAACTAATAAGAAATCACATTTAAACTACAGAAGACTGTAAGTAAGAAATGACTGAGTTTCTTTTGAGTATATATACATTGACCTCCCAGATTAGGCTTTCAAACCTTTTGGGTTTTTTTCCAAAGGAAAACACAGGGCAGTGAAATAACTCTTTTTGCCATAACTCTTTTGTATTAACTAAACAGTCCCTTGAGATGAGCAACAAACAAATATTGGAGCAGACTTCCTCAGGAGGTGATTACACAAACAAATTCTCGTTTTAAAGTTCATAAAACCAATCTTGAGAAAGGTCAGGCAGTTATCGACAATGCGATCCCAGCATCCTAAGGATTCCTCTAAATAAATATAATGCCTGGCTTTAGGAATCCTGATATTTAAAGGGAATTATGCAAGTAATTACTTTTATGGGGAAAAAACCCTGATCCTGTTTGTTACAAACAATGTGAAAGAGCCCCAGTGACATTGGAGACTCTGAGAGCACTAGAGGTAGTACCCCTGCAAGGCAGCACTTCCATGAAGTCCTGGTACTCACCCCTGCAAAGGGAGGAGAAGAACAAATGCTATGAATCCATTTGTGCCAGCTTTATGCCATAGCAGGATTTCCAGACACGCTGGCGATTCTTGGGCATTTTGTTTGTGTTGGTTTTAAATACCTTTACGCCACTTAGCAAGTCCCTCTCTAATGCCCACAGATACCAGACACTGCCTGAACACAGAATAAGGGAGAATCTGCCCTGAGGAGCTACAGCCTCATAAAGCAGCCCCACATGAAGTTGAGGCGCTTTTATATACCAGGTAAAATCTGAGCCACGATGAAATCAAGGGCAGTTTTGTCATTGGCTTCAGTGAGGTGAGGATGGCACCAGTTATAACGTGTTGCTATTAAATGAACTGGTAATTAGCTGCAGTGGATTATCACTGTTCTTAATATGGACCTTCTCAGTGTCCACAGAACAGACACTCCAATAGCTTTGTGACATTAGGATGGCCACTATGTTTACACTAACACAACACAATTTCTTCCCACTTTTTGCTGTTTATCAAGAGTAGAAACAAACCCCAGGCACCCAGAAGACGAGCTGCTCACTTACCCACTTTCAGTGTGCCCCCCACCACCACGATACAGGCAGCGCTCAGGAAGTTGCTGGAATTGCTAGGGAACTCGAGGGTCCCCAGGATGTAGAGACCCCTCAGAGGGGGAAGAGCCGTATCCACCAGGATGGTCCGGTCTAAGAAATAAAGCAGAGGGTTATTCAGGCAAAGTGGCAGGGAGGTGGAAAAGCTCAGACTAGCTCTGCCTGAGTTTAGCTTTACTTAAAACTTTTTTGCTTAGAAAAAGGCAGCTAGTGGTTATGCGTTTGTACAGCATCTGCTAGAGCTTCAGCTACAGCTGAGGCTCCATGGTGTGACTGCAATCTGATAATAAATAATAACATAATATTTATAATGATATCGTTGCATGATTAGGTTTCATCAAATGCCCCTTGAAGCTTTAGGAGCGCATGGAAAGTGCAGCAAGTTGGAGACGTGCTAGCCTCCCTGGATGAATCTGGCTCTACTTTGTAAAGTGAATGTTGAGCACCCAGTGCAATGAAGCAAGAGTAAACTAATCCACGTCCAGACAGCATTTTTCCTTCATGGCACGGAAGAGAACAAGAATGAATGAAGTGAAAAAGATACAACAGGGTCAAATAATCAGGATTACATTGGTGCAACGTGAAGTCACATAGTACAACCCACGTCCAACAACTCCCTGCCGCTGCTCTTCCCCCTCTGCAGTTTGGCTTTGCTCTTGGGTTTGCAAGAAAAAAGCTTTGCTAGAATCAGCACAGCCTAAAGGAAGCCAAACTTCTCTGGTTCTTTATTCACAGAACTAGTCATTCCCTATTAATAACTTAGGTAACAGCAGCCAGGGGAAGCACCATTTCCTCAGCTCTGTAAGGATAAAGTAAGGAGCGTAAGTCACTTCTGACTCCATTTCCAGGCTCCTTGATCCCTGCTTTGACCAGAGGACACTAGAAGTATTCTACAGCACTGGATATTGCCAGAAATGAATTTACGACTTCTTATGCTAGCTCATCTCTGAAGTACAATTTAGAGAACCTTTACAGTTGAGAGCACAGGGCTGAGACACAAAGGCACAAACTTCATTGCAGGCTACCTCTCTTGCCATATTCCTCCACATCCTTCCTTCCTATCAAGCACCATGTCAGGCTGGGACTGCCTCTTACTGTATATTTTTATGTTGCAGAACAGAGTAAGACTTCTGATGACTGAGCACAACAGCAATGTCACTGGTGCCTCCTAAAGTTGACAGCCCACAGCCTGTGAACTATTTAAATGCCACCTAAGCTTTCAAGATAGGACATGAATAAGTGCTGAAATGGTGCCTCCTTTAAGGTAGCCCACAGAAGTGAAATCCACCCTCAGGGCCCATCTAATGGTCTTTAATGTCAGTGGGAGCTTTTTAGTTGATTGCAGTGGAAACCGGTTCAGGTCTTTTAATTGTGGTTTCCAGCTCTTTTCACTACAACAAGAGTAACAGCTTCCTGGTATAGCATCTCTCTGAGTCACTGGATGCTCCTGGAAGAACAAGAACAAGAAACAAAAACTGAACAAATAGTTCAACAAGATGCTGTTATTTAGGGACTTTCTGCACAGAAGCCTTGTTCAGGATCTAATTGTGACTTCCACAGAAATAGTTTGCAGAAAATGAGATTGTTCAACATAATGACAGCTGTCAACTCCTGCCCAGAGATTTGCTGTGGCTTTCCTTGATCTCATATTCTTTACTTCAAGGCATAGATTCACAAAACAGGACAAATTAAGGAAAAAGCAGATTTTACAATGGACTTTGACAAAGCAGTGAGAACAAGGCACTTGAAACAGTTTTGGTCTGGAAAACTGGAAGAGCCATGCAATGTCTTGAGAAGTGGAGCAGCTACTGAGCAGTTTTGCTTCTCCCTACAACCATCAGCAGCTGCTTGGAGGAAGAGACAAATAACCATACAATAGACAGCGCAGGGAAAGTCTTTTCCCTTAAAATAAATAATTAAAACTTGACTCAAACCATTTAACATAAAAGTTTATCAACTCTCCCAGCTGCTTGTTTTTAAAAAGCGAAAGATTAGGCGGTTAGGGTTTTCTTAGCCCTGAGCCCAGTGAACCTTGTAGCAGTGAGTTTATCAAGTTAATTGTGAGTCAGGTGAAAGCAGGGCTAAAAGTTAGGATGTTTTTCCTTGCTTGGTCTGGTGTCTTTCACAGTAAGAGACAAAATGTTCTTTATAATTTGAAGGGGAAGTTACAAGGCTGTTCATTATATCTGAAGAATATCCAGAAATTCTGCCTTATTAAGGACAATTTCACACTCTGTCCTTGTTTAAGCAAAGCTCCTGCCGACTTCAATGGCAAATTAATCTGCGCATGGGATGAAGGCCTGATGTTGTTCCCATCAGGTGAGATAGCTGCAGCTGTCAAAGCATGCAACAGTAGTAATAATTTAGGGCAAGAAGTGAAAAATTCTGTATTTATGTAACTAGAACTAAGGATAACAAATGCAGTCATCCAGGCTGATGTACCAAGGGGGCACAGTCCTTGGGCAACAGGATTTATGATTTCTGGGGTGTCATTGCAATCAGGGCCTAATTTTTACACTATTGTCATTACAACAGGTGCAAGGTTTAAGATGTATCATGAGGTCTTCAAAGATCTTCTCTTGCACGCACACTGTCCTAAATCATGCATGCCTGTGGGTCCTCAGGGAATCACAGTGCAAAAACTGTGATGGTCCTTGCTGGTCCTGTTGTGATGTGTCATAACGTAATAAAAGGCTGCACAAAGTACACTGAGGAATGGACTGAATAAAAGGTGAGTAGACAGCCTTCATATTAGCATTTCCTAGCTTTTGACTCTTTCATTTTGCAGCCTTAAAAATTTAACAGCTGTTTGGGGAGAGCAAAGCACTGCATACTCAGGAGTCCCAGTTCTGCTTACTGGTTTGTTTCTTCTGCACCCACCTCTTGCTTTCCTATTGTTGTTTTCTTTTTACTCACTAAACATCTGCAAGGGACACACTGAGAGGCCAGGAGATGTCATATCTCTTTTCAAGGACTACAGCAAGCACCACAAGAACCTACAGTTACTCAGAAGACCCCAACTGAAAAGAAACACCCTGCATCCTTGGGCTGAAGCATCCTTCAGGCACGCAAGTTTTTCACAGCATTCAGATATAATAAGTCTCTATAGAGCATGTGCAATCTACATTTTTTTTTCTAAATCTCATAATATGAAAATAACATTTTCATAGGCATGAAGAAACTCTTGTGTATAATCTCTTTACAGGACAGGCATAGTCCTATGCCCTGCAGAACTGAGAAGGGAAAGCACAGTATGTGAGGATAGGAAACAGAAAGAAGAGAATAAGGGGGAAGATGTTGTTAAAATGATATCTCAGGCAGAAGACGAATCTAGTTTGTGAAATCACAGCTCAAGAATGTGGCAAAAAGCTGCAGCTGACAAAGGCCATAAGTACATTCATCAAACACAGACTGAAACATTTTTACAAGGGGGGGAAAAAAGTGCTCCTAGGCATTTATATGTCAAGTTTCAGTCTAGAACAGATATTTTTGCTGAGTTGCATATCTTTCTAAAGAAGGTTTTATAAAGGAAGCGCTGACTGCTTTGTAGCTGTAGCATCGTGTATGTGAGCCCTGAAACACAGGAGGAGATAGAAATTCTCCCATCCAGAGATATCTGTGCAAATCTGTGATTTCATCACTGTAAAAGAACAATACTTTGGTGTAGAACACTTAGTGTGTGAAGTCCTGAGAGAGTGAAATGTTGCTCTTCATAAACAACAGAAGCTCATTGGCAGGGAAAAAAAAAAAAAAGGTCCTTCCACGCTTGAGAAGAAAAACAAATAGATTCAAAGGAGACTTTTCAGGATTAACAAGGTCCTTACAGAATACTCTCATTATATAATAGAGGGAGATGGCTACTGAGGGGTTAAAACTGTAAACGTTAGGTCACTAGGCTCAAGTGATTTACCTTCAGAGAAAGACAAAATTGAGGGTTTTTTTTCTCCCATGAAAACATTCACATAATAATAAGCGGTTTCAGAAAACAGTAGTTCAAGCCCGAAAACAGGGTTACATTTCATTATACATATGCTTTCTCTAGACAAAAGCTCACAGGTATGCCACAGTCTTAATGTTCAAACGTACAACACTGAGAACTCACTAATGACTCCAGCAATGACACAAATGCCTTTGATCAATTGCATTGCTATATAAAACACCATAACATGCCATTGAATGGAAATCAGGCACAACAGAAGAGCTATTATATGAGATACAGTACTCCAGCATTCATCTCTTCAAACAGAAAAAGTTCAAAGAAAATCAAAATCCGAAAATGAATAACAGAGTGAATTCCACCACTG